TGTCTTCATGTCTCTAAAAGTATTTCTTACAGTTTATTGCTTACATTATGCCGGCTGACGTGTATAGTTTTTTAAAATATTAACTGTCAGCTCTTGTGCTTGCAAAAGTTATAAACAATACAATACCATACAATACAAGACTTCACGCACGATTAGATTTGCCGAAGAAGCCTTATTTGCAAAACGTCAAACAAACGGTGTGATTTTTATATCCAGTGAATCAACGCTATCTACCCTGAGATACTTGATAACACTTGAAAAGGGAGTTGTTTCTAGAAGCCCTTCAAGTACCCCCGATGCTTAATCAGAAGAAAGATGAAATTACATTGGGTTGTCCAGGTCGCTTCATTTTAGGTATGATTGAACAAATGTTTGGTAAAGTTTAGGAAATTGTCCGATTCAATGGAATATTGTATGAGTATTGTTTCGTGCCCTACTAAAGTAGCCGCGACAGAAAAAGGAACGTGCGTGCAAGTCTCACAATGCTTCAGCTGTCAGCTATTTGTCAATGTTTATCAAAACTGAAGTAAATAGATTGAACGCATTATTATTTGAACGCATTCTGGGGACTGGAAACAGCAAACATCTGTGACAATGTATACTAATTGTCTGAGGAGGTAAGAAAGTAGAGTCGAAGTTGGACGTGTTTTTGACCCATGGCAATAACATCTTAAGCTCTTATATTTCCTGAAAAGGCTAACCTCAAAACCCTCAGCAGTCTATAAACATTCCCAGTGTTCCGTCCCAGTTTGCTTACAAGTCTAATAGATACGCCTTGGAGGCAGTCTCTACTTTTTTTTCATTTTATCAGCAAGTCCTTGAACAACTTTGCTTGTCCGTTCGGTGTGCTTTTCTGGACTATTCTTGTGCATTTGGTTCCATTGCTCGATCTAATTTGTCACAACAGCTGGAATCGTTTGAATGCAACAAGCAGTTGTTAGCCTGGCTAGCCCACGTTTTTACTGATGGAGTACAAATCCCTAGATTGAGGAATTCTTCATCGAAAATTGTAATCCACAACTTCGGAGTTGTTCAACGAGCTATGTTATTCCCAAGCATATTTCCAATTATAATTGTGATATCCTCTGTGTTTCCTTGCAGGACTTTTTAAATATGCGGGTGATGTTCTATGTTAACCCAATTGTTCTTACTCCAAGCCCAGCGCTTTTGTTGACTATTTTGAACAAATACAGTCATTCTGTTCCTTATCCGGACTGACTTTAAATCCCAGTATATTCGTGTAATGTTTATATAGATTTGCTCACTCCCTATATCCGGCAGACCCCAAAGTGAATAATAATACCTAGTGTAAGCTCTGTGACTGCGGCACCTCTGATTTCAAATTCGAAAGCTCAGGCAGCTTCGCGTATCTCAGTCAGTTATTTCTATATTTTTTCATCATTGTGTTTCCCCTACCGTAAGCTACTGTTCCCAGTTATTTTCCTAGCTCACTCAAACAGGATTTCAAATTCCTAACCCGTGATTTAACCATTATTGGTAGTTTCTCTTTTGTTCCTCTGAATGAGTTGGCTTCAGAGCTTTCAGAATAACTTCCTGTGTGAAATTTGCTGAGCGGATTCTCACAGATCCTGACCGCCCATTGCATCTAGAACTGACAGGTTACTCATAGAAGAAGAGCGGTCAATGAGTGAATTTTGTCGTAAACTGCGATTATGAATTGTCCCCATGTCTATAAAGACATTTCTCACAGTTTATTGTTCACATAATGTCGGTTGACGTGCATAATTTGTTAAAAACTGAACTGTGAGCTCTAGTGCTTGCAACAGTTATACACAAAACAATACGGTAGAATAGAAGAATTCGCTTACTATGATATTTACCGAAGAAGCCTTATTTGCAAAACGTCAAACAAATGGTGTGACTTTTTATATCCATTGAATCAACGCAATCTACCCTGAGAAGCTTGTTAACACTTGAAAGGTAGTTGTTTCTCGAAGCCCTTTAAGTACCCTCAATGCTTAGTCAGAAGTAAGATGAAATTTCTTTGGGTTGTCCAGGTCGCTTCATTTTAGGTATGATTGAACAAAGTTTTGGTTAAGTTTAGCAAATTGTTCGATTCGATGGAATACTGTATTAGTAATACTTCGTAACAAAAGGAACAAACAAACGCTGGCCTAATCAAATCACATTGGCTACAGAAGGTTATGTGAGTTGAACCCCAACAATATTGTGTATTTTGAAGCATCAGTTACCTAAAAAAGTGATCCAGAGAGTCCCTATTATAGAAACGGTTATCACGAAGTGCCACGTATTTTGGATGACCAATGCAAACTAAACTAACCGAAACCCCTTAACAAGGTTTTCCTCAATCCGTTGACCTGTACTGAAAAGTGTATCTAGCGCATCATTCTTTGGGGCAGAAAATTAACGCGCTGATTCTGTCATACAATTGGTGCGCCGTACTGTTCAGCTATTGGCAAATTCATCACAAACGACCGTTCGAACAAAATGGGCCAATGAAATACCTGTTTATTACTCATCGGAACCCCCCCCCCTTCGTCTCGTCTTGCTTGCTGTACTTTAGTTCCACGGACAACCGTAGGCTCCCTGTGGGGACGAGGAAAACTGCTTTGGGCCAATTGCACGCCCACCAACTGGCTGTTCCGGGGAGCTATAAAATAACGCGTCTAACTGCGAATGTTTACGCAAGCTAGCAGTCCGATTCTCTTCTTGTTCACCATCATGCTTCGCCTCTATCTAACCATCGTACTTCAAATTCTCATGTGGGGTAAGTCACTTCAGTATTTTATTCTCGACGTTTGCCCACTAGTGCTCATATCATGTCATCTGGATTCCCGCACATGGGACGTTGCTTTGGGATGGTCAAAAATGGGATTCCATTACAATGTCAACGTGAGTTCCCCTCGTTCGTAAAATGTATCCGGCGCGTGTATCGTTAACGTGCCCCACGCCTCGAGGGCTCATGGCTTGAGATAAACTTTGAACGAGTGAATAGAAATGATACCCCGCGTTGTCAATTAGGCGTTCTTTATAGCTGCTGCTGAAGCTTTGATCTTGCTTATTTTAAGGAACAGGAGTTAGGAAACAGATGAATCATGTTTTATTTCGATACGAACCAACGTTTTCATAAATTTGTTCAGACTAACAGTTGGATATATGCGTTGACCTGTTTGTCACATACAATATCTCATGCAACATTGTTGACAGCTGTGTGCCATACATTTGTCTATGGATCAACAGGAAATGATTTTACATTGTCCTGCAAATATATTTTTTCTCCTGTTCAAGTATACTGAAATTAATGAAATTGATTTGTTTGAGTATTTGGTTTCAAAGTTTCACCGGCGAATCGCGAATTGACACCGCACATCATGATCAGGCCCGTTGTATGTGTACCGAATTTCCGAAGGCCGTTACGAATGCCCGAAAGAAATGAATTCCAAATGCATCAATTTCTAGTGTACAAATTCACAAACTGCATAGAATCCAAACTTCGGTTTCATGAAGCGATCTGCCAATATAAATTGCCAAAATAAGCTAGGTGCATTCATACCCACACAAGAAGAGCAAACTGGTCGTTACTTCGCAGTTCAAGGGGTGATACACACTGAACTACAAATCTTCACTCCTTCTATTCACTACAGCAATTTCAGTTCCGTTTTTGGGACCGAACTGATGACATGAATGCTGAGGTGAAAACATCTGAATACAGTCCGGAGATAGTGCCTTTCGGTTTTCGTGTTCAGCTGTACCGTTTCAGCTGTGTCTCAGGCTTTCGCCTAGTCTGTCATACAAATGAAGGACTCCTATTGGAAAGCATGAACGTGACAGCAATCGGTCCCGGAATGAGGTGCCCAAAATGCGCTGATGACAAAATGTGAGTGTCGTTTTAGAAGTTAGTTTCAGCAAAATTTTCCCCTAGATGGTGAATGTTTGTATTTCTCTTTGATGTGTATAACAAATAATTTAGTCCTTTTCCGCCTATCAGTCCATCAGGACGAGACAGCACCTTGACGTGACATGATGTCTTGTGCACCTCTCTGACCCAACTAGCTTTACAAGATCACTTTTATCAAGCCGCAGATCTGATCATGCCTGGAAGGACGGAGGGTACAAATGAGAACAGGTTTAACCTCCTGGTCCTCCAGATTGGAGGTTCAACTCTCGTTCTCGTCTCAGTCGACAAAATGGTAGAGGAGTAGTCGATCTAAGTAAATGGGCCCCCACTTCGCTTCACTTGCTTCACCCACTGTCTGGCGGTCAGGTTCTTGTTAGGACTAAAGGCTTTGGTCGATAACCGTAATCGTTCTCCTGCTAAGTGACCTTCTGGATACCCTGGCAGTACCTGCCCATCAAACTCGAATGCATACGAAAACAAAACATAATTCCGTACTGCAAATTTTGTCGCGCATGATAATCAGGATCGCGCTGCCCATTGAATCGAACGGGTTGGGTAGTGATAAGTGGGCTACTGCTCACATATCCCAACCTTTGTTCAACTTTTTGTCTTCCGTTCCAAACCTTCTCCCTTTACATCTTCTTCCGACCCCAAACATTCTCTCAGGCAACTTGATCGTCACTCGTCAAAGTTCGTCGCCAAGTAACTCGGTAAGTAGTTTAGCACAAAATAAATTGCCTATTCGGAAGCCTCATTAGCCACTGAATGTGAGGGCCTTCAACGTAAGGACTTAGATGCAGATAGGTCAACAGTCAAATATTGTTCCAACTGATACGCAACATTGGAGGTCGGTGAACCACAGTTAGTGAAACAATCTGCGAGAAAATTGGACCAGCTATTCACAGAACGAAACAACGGCTTAGCCCGTGCGCGAAGTACTTCAATTAAGACAGTTCAGCTGGCTAGGTGCTCACCAGCCTATATTGTCTGTTGTAGTTCCGGCTGCATAGGAAGTGTCATGTAAACCTCCGACTGCAGCAGAAGTATGATCATGCATCCCAGCTTTGACTAAAGGAAAAACAGCTGGATCGGATGGGCTTATCTACACTAGTTGGAAGTTGTTGACGATGCCCTCTTAGACTCCACCATTGATCTAATGCGTACAATCTGGTCACATAAGCGTAACCTATCACCTCCGAACAAAACACCGATTAATCTTGCAACGAGTGTATAAACCGCCGTGGAATTAGCTTGATCCCAATCGGCACCCAGTTACTAGGCTCCTCCTCTTCCTTCGACATCTGATACCGTTTAGGGCGACAAATATCNACTATTTGGAAGTTGTTGGCGATGCCCTCTTAGACTCCACCATTGATCTAATGCGTACAATCTGGTCACATAAGCGTAACCTATCATCTCCGAGCAAAACACTGATTAATCCCGCAACGACTGCGTAAACCACCGTGAAATTAGCTTGATCCCAATTGTCACCAAGTTACTAGCCTCCTCCTCTTCCTTCGACATCTGATACCGTTTAGGGCGACAAATATCCGCAAACAACCAGCAGGATTTCAACCAGGTCCCGGGTGTGTCGATTGCATCTTCACTCTGCCTCAAGTCCTCGAGGTACACCATACTCACCGTTGACCAACGGTTGTCATGTTTCTTGACCTAAAACGAGCCTTCGACTCAGTTGGCCGCGAAACCGTAATGGGCTTGGTTATTCGTAAATTAATTTCGTAGAAGTATTTGGACATATTGAGTTCACTCTATTCACATGATTCTGTTAGCGTAATGGTTCACTGTGAGCTGAGTAGGTCGTTCGGAATTAGCAGCGGTGTTCGTCAAAGGTGTCCTCTTTCGCCATTGCTGTTCAATTTCGTCATAGACAAACCACTGGCATACGAGAAAATTTCGTTGAAAATCCTATTGAGAAGAATTAATGAGGCGCACGCAGCTATTACTTTTACATCAGAAGTGGAATCAGAATATACCTTCCATTTTCTTTATGTGAATCTCAAACGACGTAGTGATGGTTATCTGAATAGAAGTGTTTATTGCAAGCCAACATGGACTGGGCAATATATCCACTTCTCAAGCTTCGTACCACTGAAACGGAAACGGAACACTTCATTCAGAAATATCTATCTGAGACACCCAATGGACCGGATTTAACAACAGTGAATAAGAAAGACTTATACATGCGACTCCCTTACAAAGGGGAGAACAAAAGTGATCTAATCATCAGACGCTTGGAAAGAACATTCACACGCACATTTCCCGCAGCGCGTTTATGCCTTCAGTGCACCAGTCGACCAATTATTTCCATGAATCTCAAGAATAAACTGCCTATTTCTACCTTTTCTATGATTACCCACTCATTTGTTTGCTCATTTTCGGCAAACTACATCGGTAGAATCATCAGGCAGTTCTCCTAGAGAATCACAGAACATAAACCAGCCTGGATGTTTACTGGAGATAGAAAAACCATAACAAGTGCCATTGTCAAACACCTCGCCAATACGAGAAATACTGCGAATGAAGACGATTTCGAAGTGATCTACCGTATTTCCAAGGCTTGAGCAGCTCACGCAGGACCAATACACCTGATGCAGCGTTGTGGTTTCATTGAAGTTGAAAATTCACGTATAGTGCTCCACTGTACGATACGTTCTGCTGTATGGTTGTGAAACCTTGAATTTGCGAGTAGAATACATCGTTTAGCAGTGTTCGACACTCGATGCCTGTATAGTCTGACCCAGGTGGGATGGAGCGAGCGGGTTGTTATCTTAGAAGTAAGTCGTCGGGTGTTTGGGAATACCCCAAAGAAGACCTGGCCATCATATCGAATCCAGTTCAGTAGGCTCCGTTGGTTGAAACGTGTTGTGCGTATATCAGACCGTTGCCTCTCCGAATCGCAGTGGCTTTTGTAGGCTGAAAAAAACAACTGGAAGCCAAAAGAAGACTCTTGGTGACGAATCAAGAAGAAAAATTGCCCAGAGTGATTTGATTGAGTAGGTGTCTCTCGGATTCCGGGTTCGGGTCCAAAAGATTCCAAAACCGCATGGTTGGAGACACGGAAGATCATGGCCGAAAACCGACAGCAATGGAGATCATGCTGTCAATTACTATCAGACCAGAATGCTTGAAATAGTATGTATGCATAGCTGAATTGTTTACTCTGTGTGTTCAACTTACAGTTTTACTTCCTTTTCGCATCTCCAATAATAGGGACAATTTCTATCCCCAATACACATTCTCAATTACCGTTTATACAATATGAGTTTGACAGTGATCAGTGAAGTTCGCTTCACTGTATGTCATTTTGTAATGCTGATAATGATGATGCGTTTATCAGATTGAGCGTTCACTTTGATTCAATATGCGAACTCGTGTTCCACAAGGCAATCTAGGACTAATAGAAAACCGTTTTTTTATGTTCTGCAGAGTATTCACGCTAAACATGTTTGAAAAATACTTGGATATGGGTGACCTTTGCGCGACAGGAAGCGCCGATAGCTGGGTACGTTCGCTCAGTGAAATGTCCTTGTTTATTCTGGCAAGGTGTATGCAAATATCTCATGTCTTATGAAGTTTTGATATGCAATTATTTTTTCTCTGTCAGTTAGTTCTATGCAGATGATTCCGACTGATTGTTCTTTTGAGTCCCTGATGAATCAAATGTACAGTTCTCTTATCAATTCTTTCTCAACGAGATACTGATTCCATGTGTGGTACGGTAAGCTGGCAAGTATTTTGAGTAAAACCGTACGATACCTTGAATTATATGGTCACCTCATGTGATGATTGTGAATTATTGAAATCGTGGGTGAACTGTTGCCTATCAGAGAATTTGTAAGCTGATGGATTTCGAAGCACAATTTACGCGATGTAATCGTTTAACCGGTGAGACCGAGTTCCCGGCTGATTTACGCTGACGGAGAACGATGAACAGAATGGAGATTCGGATTTTTATGGGTATGGTCATGCTGGCTGAGTTGATGGTGACATTTACTTAGCAAAACTGGCGGTGTTCGACCTCCTGAGAAGGAGGAAAGGAAGAAACTATGACACGCTTTGAAATGGTATTCAAGATTCAAGAAACACAATCAACAATCACAATTTGTTATGCATTTAGATAGCTTGAGTTGAAAGAACATTTCTGTCTGAAGCTACTATCTGGAAACTGATTGAGGGTTGTTTTGCAATTCTTGCAGATTGAGGTATCACTCAATGGACGTGTGCGACCGGTACAACCAATTTGGACCGTTGAGTGCTCTGCTCAAAGTGGTCCCGTGACGCTCAGCCGATCTCGCCTGTCATCCCGCGAACATGCAAGCAAAGGTGGTATCGTGCTATCGCGGCACAAGAGATCAACTGGCGATGTGAGTTTTTTTCATTTTCACAATTGCCCACAAGTTACGATGATGCAGACAATGAACATGCTCTGACCGATAATACCTTTATGAGTTTCTGAAGCCAATTAAATAGAGATAACAGAGTGATTTGAAAGTCGTTTGCGTGAATACAAAGGCTTCCTCGTCGAAGGTAATTGCACAGCTAAGTAGCTGAAATATTTTGCGGCCCGTCAACAAAGACAGAAACGTTCGTGTTCGATCTCTTTTATGTTACTCAGGCTTATCAGTCTTGTTTAATGTCCTGTATGGCTTTGCAATTCAATTTTTGTCATTATCGATGATTTAAAGGTATATGAGGTGAAAATGGGATGGAGCCTTGAACAGAAGACAATTTTTATGCGTAATCTTTTTTATGTTTTATTTTATTCAATTTGGACAAACGTGGAGTCATATATGCTTCCATTTCGGTTAAAATGTTTACTGGTATTCACTTGGCGTGGAACAGTGATATCAATAATAAAAGCGAAATCAAAAGAATGTCAGTCAAGTTTGTTTCATCGAAATTGGTCTTGTTGAATCACCTGAATATTTCTTTTTGAAAAAACGACAGTCAGGGAAAATTCTTCTCTCTTCACTTTTACGGATAAGGTATTCACCAGGAATTTCTGTGGATAGTAAATCCAAACTTAGGAGAATCTGTTTATGATAACTCGCTCGGCATGGTAGTGGCAATATAATGAATTTAATATGTGGTATTGGTGTTGTTAAATGAAGGTTCAAGGTAGAAAACGAAACAGCATTCAAAAGAGAGATGGAGAAGATTAGCCGCTTTGGTGAATGTCTTTTGCTTAATAGAAAGCATGATACAACGGGATTAAATGTTCCCAATTCTGAACACACACCGAAAACTCACTGTGATTTCGGTATCACACTCGCAAACAAAACTCGGATTGTACAATCAAATCCGAATTGCACCTGAGCAAATTGAGGTTTTTGTGCCAGTAATTTAAGTTTCCCTATTTCTACTCGAAATGCCACTGATCCTGGTTTTGATAAAGCCTGGCTAAATTTGGTCAATTACGTATAAGCCACAACGACTATTGATGCCAAGTTGTTTACATTTGTGAATAATCGCTCCGAGGGAGCCACAATCGCTGCATGCAGAGTAAATCCAAAGAAAATCTGGCATGAGCGTTGAGCAGTTATATTCCGACATGCACCAGAGTGATTCTACACTATGATATCGTATTCCCTTTTGCGTTCATCTTCAGCTATGCCGGCTGATTAGATTTGCACCAGTCGATAAACGCGGCATACGTGTAAATAGGCCCACAAATTTGACGATGCATATCAAAAGTNCATTGTGGATCAATTGTGGACTTTCTATGGTATCAAAGATTGCAGCCTGCAATCTCAGCTTCATCCAGATCGAGATCGGGGACGACTTGCCAATCAAGCTGACCGAAGTCAAAGCAATTGGCCAATTCAACGGTAGTACAGTTAATGAATTGCAATTTACCATGGACAAAATTGCGATGAAAAGTAAGAGGTCGTTTCTGTGATAACCTACTTTGATGACACATGAAATGTCCTCCCCTTTTGCCACAAAAAAAATGATCTGTGTTCTCACGCTCATTTGCAGACGCACAAAATGATGAGCTAGGAGGCCCGATCAATATAACGATTTCCGTTAGATTGGCGGACGCTGCGAAGGAAGGAGATAAGAAAGTTTTAACGGTAAATTATGGAACAAAGGAAAAATACTGCTTTGAACATTTCTCAATGCCCATCAACCCGGAAACAGATTTTAAAGCCCTACTGGATACGAAGATATACACAGAAACAGTGTCTATCTACCCGAAGTACGTTCATGCCCTAGTCGGCTAATAACCATTGTAACAGCATGTCAAGAGTGGATTATGGGAACCCAAGATATACCTTTTACAGCATACCTACTAGTGAAGTGTTCTCCAAATTCCGTATGGAATTTGGTATTATTGAATACTGGTTGTAATAAAAAGGCACCGAATTTGGCCCATGATCTCAATTTGTTTTGTATCGTGTACAGAAACCTGTAAACCATCACCGGGAATAACTTAATATATTCTTGCGAATGCAGAAATGCATCTGTGCAACAGTGGGGCCCTGTATCAATTACCTCTCCCCCCACCGCGTTCCCTCGTTGCAGAGACACAGTTCGATTTGTGCTGATTGTGGGGCAAAATCAGGAGTCGCAGTTGGAGTGCAAGTCAGTGAAAATCACTCTGCACCACAACATGTGGATCAAAGCTGCAACTATCTTCAGTTATGACAATCAGATTCCCCTAAATATCACACAGCCATATCGATTGACCGAGGTGCTGGTAAGTAGTGAATATATTGATTTGCTCGCACCAATATTTGTACGCACCATGCCATGGCAATAAGAGCAATACGTTACACGTTCATGCGATCTGGTATTCATGCGTATCACTTGTCATTATCCGGTCAACCAAAATCTCACAAATGTGAAACCATATTTTGTTTCGAAAACATATGTACATTTGGTCTTTGCTGCTTTCAAGTGTTCTGTAGAACGGTTGTATGAAGCTGTATTTTACAATATTGTTTTTAAGATTCAGTGATACATACACAAGCTTCCAGACAAAAAGAGACCATGGTTACAACGCTGTCAGAGAACAGACAGAAGTACTTGAAAAGTACGTCTTAGCTTTGAAAGGATACTCCTCAGAAGGCTCAAACGGGACTTCAGCAACCAATAGAAATCACAAAAGAATTAGTGAACGGGTATTGGGAGAACACGTCGTCGAAAAAAAGTTCCTATTACAGACAAGACAGAAAAAATCTTCTCATCTGTGAGGAGAGGATTTCCAGCTTGCAAGCAACACTTTTGTCAGTCAAAGACTATCGAAGCTTGCTTTCAATTGTTCCAACTGGGTACGTCACATTTCTGACACTGCTCACGGGCGTTCTCTAAATCCGGACCCTGACCGAGGAAGCTGAAGAGCGGTTCACAGTGAAAACATATTTTTCGGAATAGAGCCTCAGATCGGATAAAATGGAATAAACAACGAGACAGTTTCAGTTTATTATATACACCAAGTTGTCGTTGGTTAGATATGGAAACGGAAACGACACTATTATCAGCCTAAATAAAGTGCTGTAGAGAGAGAGATGGGTAAAATCACTAATATAATTCGTAAAAATGTAAGATGGTAAGAAAGCACCTTGAAGTTTACCCACATTCCTGAGTAAGGCAGTTGCCTGTATCCTTCCCAATTTACCACTGTGATATCTTTAACAACAGGAATCAACAATCCATGCAAAATGAACATTGAGACGACCAACGACGCTGCCCTTAAGTAAAAGAAAACGCACCAGTGAGGTAAAAGTGGAAGTATAATCAAGAAAGGCACAATACACATATTTGTCGTTCTCGATTAGGGACCTAGACAAGTAATGGTATCCGGTGTGTTTATATGCAAACAGAGAAAAATTATGAGGATTTGTAAGGTATAAATGAAGTTGATGCACAAATGACCGCTCTATCAATTTCGAATCAGTGGAAGCCGGAGCAAGTTGAACACCTTTCGCAATTTGAGCCTTGGGATTTGTGTTCAGATGGGTGATTCTCTCAGTGGGTTTATTAACTGGGGCATGTCTCCAACGACAAATCCATCTATGTTTGCTTAAG